TGGGAGGGGAGGTCCCTGTGGCCCCCCCCAGTGGGGGGGGGGTGTCTCTGTGCCCCTCCCCGTGGGGTAAGGTGGGGCCCGGGTCCTTCCCTTTGGGGTGGGGGGCTCCACGTGCCCTCCCCCCGAGGGGTGGGGTGGGGGTCCCTGTTGCTTGGTTGCAGGCTGTGGGGTTGAGGCCTTGGTTCTGCCCAAAGGAGGGACTCTTGCGTTGTGATTATTGCATGTATTTGCATAACACCCCGGTGGTGCTGGGGCATGCAGTGGGTGCATGGGGGTGCATCGGTGCACATGCACGACGATGTGTGCAGAGCATGCATGGAGTTACGTGGCACACGCATGCAAGTGTGCAGTGTTACCTGGAGGTGTGTGGAGGTGCAATAGGTTGGGAAATTTGAGCCAGCGTGTGCAAACGTACAACACGAACAGTCACACACTACCAGAAGCATTATGGGCAGCATCAGTGAGTATTGGTGTGTTTTAAGATTGTGCAAGATTGCATGGATGTGTAGAGCACTTGGGCAAAAATTAGACATCTTGTATTTTATGTAATAACTAGGGTGGCCAGATGGTTTCAACAAAAATACCAGACACACTTGACATTACATCACAATCTACATTGCATCTTAGTTAGAAAATACCGGACATTTCTATTTTCTCAATTTGTTTCCCAAACAGAAAGCTCAAATACTGGGCTGTCCGGTTCAAAACCGGACACCTGGCAACCCTAATAATAACTTCCAAGACTTATGTGGGAAAAGAGGGCACGAGAGAACATTTGTAGTGGGAGGCTAAATCCAAATTTTCAAAGTTGTGTGCTTAATGTATCCACCAGAGGTTTGGGGATCCCACAGCTCCAGTAGGGAACCCAAGTTAGAAAATAACATCTGTTTTGAAGGAAGGGAGCATTAAGGAGCTATTTGGGTGCATTTACACTGCACCCTTTACTCAAAATAAGCTAAGCAATTTGAGCTATGCAAATTGAGTAGCTTATTTCGAGTTAATTTCAAAATTTTCAAAATAAATTGCTATTCCAAAACGTCTCTTAATCCTTGTGGAATGAAGTTTACAGGGATGTCAGAATAGCGAGCCCATTATATTTCAAAATAACAGCCTTGTTTCAAAAACAAGGAATAGCTATTTCAGGATACCAGAAGTACCCCGAAATAGTGCCGCTGTGTAGACGTACCCTCAGTGCGTCAAAAGTACTACAGAACTTTTAGTGCACAGTGGCAGGGTTCATATGCCCAATTAGTGCATTGCTAACTCACCATATAGACAAGCCAAGAGTTCAAGCACAGGGAACAATGTGAGAGTAATTAGCCAGAGTGATAGGAGACATTAAACTCACAGATATTAGAGGATAAGCTAAGGAACAGGAGAACTCAACAGAAAAAGTTAAGTAGGGGCAGCGGTTAACTTTGAATGTGGCCACTGTGCCTGTGTTGTCCACAGAGAATAATGAGGTGGCTACTGGTTACCATAATTTGGTTTTGTTTTTCAACAGTTGTCTCTGCATGTTCTGAGGGCAACAAGTCTGTTCTGCAGGAGTTTTGAAAAGCATTTCAGTGCCAGCTACATGAGGAGTGAGGTAAAATCAGAAGTATTTCCAGCCTGAAGAGTTAAACTGAAGCGAGCTGTGTGTCCATCAAGTAATTCATCACTTGACAGGAGGGGGAAAAAAGAGAGAAGACCTCAAGCAGTCTGTTAATCCTAATGGAGAATCAGAGGTTTCATGCTGCAGCTTGGAAAGATCAAACTGTGGGAGCACCAGAAAGGATGGAGGACAACATTATTGCCTATGTTTCAGATGAAAGGATACATGGTGAACAGTCAACATTTTTTCTGAATGTGGATAGTGAAAACATGGAAACATCAAACACAGAAGAGGATTCATTTGGCACTGGGGGCCACAACAGAGACATAAATCCAGAAGAAATGTTTAAAGAAGGGGCTGTCATATCTGTTGAGGCTTTCGAAATTCCTGAAATAAATGGTGTTGATGATGAAAACAATAAAAGAAGCAAAACTGTCCGAAGTGAAACATGCTTTGATATTGATAATTTAGCTGAAAACTGTACTAAAGAACTAAGAAGCACTCTAAAAATCCCAGACCCTGATGCATTTGGGAAAAATGAGACATCACATAGCATGCAAAGCTGCTTGGAAGTCCAGTGTCCAGAAGAATCAGTAACATTGCAGGGAGCAAGACTGACTTTGGATGCTTTCAAAACAGAGTTTCATCTTAACAGTGAAGGAACCAAAATGAAAGAACTGTTAACTGAAATGGACTTTTCAGGAAATCTTTCAAAGTTCTGGGACCAGGGAACGCACTCCAGGTTGCTCATCATTCCTGATCTGAACGAGGAGAAAGAGCAGTTCAGGTTACAGTCAGATTTTTGCTTTTTACCCTTGATGGCGCTTGCATACGAGAAGAAAAAAGAAGGAAGTTCATTAATAAAAAAGTTTAGGATTCCCCTACTGGAAAATTTTCCTTATCCATCCCAAACTGATCTCCCCTAAACTCTTATACAGCCCTGCAGACAAAGTCCCAATCAGCCCCACCATTTGTGAAAACTCTGTATTCCTTTCATACCCTCCCTAACTAGACTCTCCTTTCATCTGCCAAACCCTATTGAATCCATCTGAGATAATGACCAGCCAGATTCCCCAGTTGTCAAAATTCCATCTGGTGACAAGTCACCAAAAAGCTTCTATCAATACTTGTCAGATCTGATTTCTGTGTCCCACTGTACCAGATCTACAACTATCAAACCAGACTCCTTTGTAAACTGGGGGTGCAGGGTAATTTATGGTATATACTCTGCAGGGTCGGGGTCCTTCCAACCCTCTGGGGATGAGTTGGAGAGGCTGGGGCCCTGCTTGGCATCCTGATGCAGGTACAACCCTGCCTATCACCGCTACACAGCTAGCTGGAGTGAGCCAGGGCTGCTCCAGCCTGCCGCTGTTGGCTATCCAATTGGTTACTCAGTAACCGGGTAACCTTTAACAACTTTTAAGAGGTGAACTGCAGTGATGAGGGAATCTCTCCCATTCCTATAGTGAATATCTGTGTTGCATCACTACAGCTTTTCCAGTGAAGATCTAATATTAGAAATGTAATTTACATCCTTTAACGTGATTCTGCTGACCCTGTAAAACTCATGTCAAATGTGTTGCAGTGTCACAGGACTTCCAATATACATTTTCATGGCAGCAGTACAACGAGTATACTTTGTCACTTGCCTGGGTCACAAGATAATGACCCCCAAATGGGGGATAGTACTAATAGTATAAGAACCATGAAACCACGTGTCTTAATTTCTTTAGCACACTAACCTTCATTTTATTATGTGGCATTTCTGATATCAGTAATTTAAAGTATTGAATGTGATATGACAAGATCTTTGTGGGATGGAGGTAAATATGGGTTTACATAAGGAATGTCTCTTCTGATGAGGCATAGTGGAGACATGGTAATCACTCAGGGTACATCTACACAGCAGCAATATTTTGGAATAACTGACATTCTGAAATAACATAGTCCACGTCTACACTGCAAGCAGCTATTTCGACATAATGTCAAAATAATGTTGAGCTGGAGAACTTCTTACTCTGGGTACGTCTAGACTACATGCCTCTGTCGCCAGAGGCATGTAGATTAGGCTACCAGGCATAAGAAAATGAAGCGTCGATTTAAATAATCGCCGCTTCATTTAAATTTACATGGCTGCCGCGCTGAGCCGATCAGCTGTTTGTCCGCTCAGCGCGGTAGTCTGGACGCGCGGGGGTTGACATCAAAGGCATTGACTCAAAGGCATCCCAATCAGAAGGGCTGACTAAGAAACTTCTGGGGCACCTGTCAGAAGGTGTGGGGATGTTATGTACAGTAATGTAAGTTTGTGTTGTCCTTCAACCTCTTTTCCTCTCCCAACCTGCGCCCTCCCAACCTCAGTTTCTACTCTGCAGCACTAATCTAAAACATTGCAGCAGACAGTGTTGCTTCTGTTGTGTTCGTGGACACCGCCAAAAGCCGAAATAAGCTATTTCGCCATGAGCTTCACAATTGACGTAGTTCAAATTGTGTAGCTTATTTCGGCTTTAGCCCTGCTGTGTAAATGTGCCCAGGCTTTTAAAACTGGCGTGGGAAGAATCTTAATGTGTGGTCCTGCAAAGTGTCAAGCATTTTCAGTTCCACTAATGTGAATAGACACTATAATGACTGCGGAATTTCTGCCTCCCCCTCACATACAGTGGTGATAAGAGCTGGACAGTCTTTCTTTAACTGTTAATTTTGTTTGTAGCACTACCATTCCTGAGTTGCCTTCATAAAATGAAAGCATTGTTTTCTTGTTTTACGTCACAGCTTTCACATCACAGCTTGCAATGAGCAGATTGCAGGCAAGAAAGTGGGAGGAACACATGCCAGCAACTGTGTTTCAAATGAAGAGCAGAGTGAACAGTCAGCATTTACTTTGAATGTGGTTAACCAGAACAAGGTGGAAGCAGAAAATGAAGTTGGAGTATGTGGAGAGGGTTCATCCTACAGCGGAAGCTCATATGACAGAGAAATAAAAACAGAGGGAACAGATTTTAGGGAAAAAGTGATTGTGACTGGTGAGCCTTCTGAAAGTCCTAACCAAAACTGTGACAATGACAAGAAGGGAAGCAGAACAATTCTAGTTAAACCCTGCCAGGTAGTCCTGAAAGAACTGGGTAAAGAGTTAGAAGAAAAATGTGAAGATTCTTTAATAAACTTAGATATTGAAACACAATCACTAAAAATGCAAAATGAGAGGAATGCTGACCCATTGCAAGTTCTTTCACATGGTATTCCAGAGAAAAACTATGTTAAAAAACAAAATAAAATAATAAAAATCCAAAACATTAAGATGCTATTGAAAAATGAGAAATTGAACATCATAGAAAAGAAAGAGATAAAAAATCCTGAAAAAGTAATCACTTCGAGAGGATCAAAGAATATGGATACAAAGATTCACCATAACTCTGAAGAACCCCAAGCAGAAGGGTCACTTACTCAGATGGACTCTACAGATCTTTCAGATATGATTGAAGAGGGCATTTTCTCTCGGCTGTCTCTTATGGAAAAAGAGTATAAGAGTTCTGCCATAAACCTCTTTCACGAGGAAGAGGAAGATCCAGGGGCAAAGAAGTTACAAACAGATTTTTGTTCTCTATCCAGCATGACTCCTCAGATACGGAAAGGAAAAAGTAGAGCGGTAACATCTGTCACAATGTTTAGGAAAAACTGGAACAAACTAATTAAGCAATTAGGGAGAGAAGAAATATCTTCTAGCTCTTTAGTGATGAATCCAAGTGGGGGAACTTTGCAGACCGAGGATCTTCAAGGAATTCCAGTAGAAGGTACCTCCACATATTTGTCAGTTATCAAGGCAGAGAATGTGTTTGATGAAGGAAAGTCCCATAATAGATCTCCTCTGCTGCCTGCCCAGAGTCATAGTGAAGACATACGTGTCACAGACTGTAAACCCAGCTGTATTTCAACACCTGTTGTGGAAAAGCTTGAAACCAATCTGAAGGGTGAGCTGCTTTGCACAATGAAGAATCAGCTGCCCAGACTGGAAAGTGTGGTTCAGTGCTTCTTAGCGGAATCTTCTCAAGAAGTTTCCGAGGGACAGTTGAATGTGGAAGAACAGAAATCTTTAAACCAAAGAAACTTCAAATCCACCAATGAAAGTGACAATAGTTCTTGTTTTCTGATGGAAGTTGCAGAGGACTTAGATAATGTAGATGATGTGAATATCACTGAAGGGCAAAAAAAGGCTGTGCAACAGAAGGCAGGAGGAGAGCATTTGAATCCTAGTAAGATCACCTTGCAGTCACAAAGCATGGAGGTACCAGAGTTCTGGAGACCTGAGGCAGAATGGCATTCTCGCTCTGATAACATCAAAAAAATCAAGCACAATGACATTAAAAAAACCACAGCTCTTCATTGTCTTGAGCCACCCGGAGAGGGACATATTAGATGCATAGAAAAAGTGACTCCTGAGCCAGCCAAGGAAACCTATCATGCAGAGGTATGTTAACAAATACTGTTTTTATGGATAATGGTCATGAATATATACATAAAATAGAGCATATAGGCTTATACTCTGCTGGTTTTAATTCAGGGTACGCCGTCTCTGCAGAATAAGCCTAAACAACTGGCCCATAGGTTGGCTTAGCCTGGATCTGAATATTCACACTGGAAAGAAGACACAGCTTACTATGTCCTCACTGATGTTGCAGTCACCTGTGTGTGTTGCTAGTCTTTTGGGGTCATCCCATGTTTCTTTGTGCTGCAATAAGATGAGCCAATTTATGTGAACGGGGAGGGAGCGTAGGTGGTCTAACTGCCATGAAAACATATCTATCTTGAGCCATCCTGCAAAGGCCACGCATCCTACTTTTTATAATTCTGCATCTCCAGTGTAGCTATGGATGTTAAATTGTGACTAATCGACTACTCGAATAGTCAATGCATTTTGCATCGACTATTCAATTAGTCGATAGGGTGTCTCCACCTTTGAAGTGTAGCAACAGTCCTAGGGCTATTGCTACACTTCAAAGGCAAAAACGCCACATAGAGCCCGGGGTCAGCTGGGACCCTGGGCTCCATGTGGCGCTGCTGTTTTGAAATGCTGTGGAGAGCCCGGTGTCAGGCTTCACGTGGCATTTCAAAGTGGCAGCACTGCATGGAGCCGGGGTTCAGTGGGGGAAATATCCCCTCCACTTTCTGCCTCCCCCTGCTACCTCTTTCTGATAGAAGCAGCGGGGGAGAGGATAAGCGACTAATCGACTAGCCTGTCGACTAATCCTTCACATCTCTAATTAGAGCAGCTTTTTGCTCAGCTGTAGTTGAAGAATGCATGCTGGGACCTGTAGTTTGTGTAGTTGTATCAGTTATATTAACCATGAAGGCAGCCACACTGACTCCAAAGGTCACAACTGGCCTACAGGCCTCAGTAGAAAATATTCTCCAGGAAGCAATACCAACCCAAAAGAAAGAAGTGATCAGCATCGGTTGTTGATGGTAATGTCAGAGTCTAAATATAGGCACTTTACAATGTTAATATTTTTGAAATGTCATTTTAAAACTAGTCACTCAGCTAGAGTCAAGATATTTTGAAAATGTGGGTCCAAATTCACCCATTAGGTTACTCCATTGATTGATTGTCTTTAGTCTTCTTTTCTTATGTTAGACTGTTGTGCTGTGGCTAGCTAGCTAGACAACTGCAGTGGTCTACCCCTGGAAATGATGGCATTTCAGTGGTAGTTGATTTGAATCCTCTCTAGATAGCTTATCTTTAGCACATCTTTAGCATGATGTGTAAAGTATTTTTATTATGTTCTCCATGCTTGTTTTTCTGGGATGGATTCTGCCTGAGTATTCTGTAATGCAGCACTTTCTTAGATGGAATAAGGTGGGAATTTAATTATTGTAATTCTTCCTGTTAATTTTCCAAGTGATTCTCCTTTGTAGCAATTACAGCATGATTCCTTTAACTCTAATCTATGGAAACCTGGCTCTCTTGTTTGATTGCTGTTACTGAGCTGATCAGCATAGCTTTACCTGCACCATATTTCCTTTGAAATCATCTGTTAATACAATAATAAATTATAATTACAGTGATAGGTCTTCAGTGTTTCACATGTTATGCCATCATTTTTAAGTTGCAGAATAAGGTGAAAAGTTTTTCGTGGTGTAAAATGTGATGAAAAGTTAGTCTGGTGAATTATATGTTTATTTGGTGAAGGGAAAATTTGGCCCTTTATACGTAGTGCTCCTGACAATATTCCTCAAAATTTAAACTCTCTTGCAATGTTAAACCATTTTTACCCAGTTTTTCACATCCTTTGAAGTAGCTCATAAAACCTGCTGCTCTGCATTTCTGATAGTCAGCCTTAGGGCCTAATCGTAAAATGTGCTGAACGTCTTGAGAGGTGCTGAGTCCCCTCAACACTCAAGAGTTGACAGGGCTCAGTAGCTCACAGAAAGGTCCTCCGCATGCCACAGTGTCAGTCCCTCAGAAATCTTGTCAGCAGTAGAATTTGTTACCCTGACTTCTTTGATTGTTGGTTAACGTGTTCGTAAAAGGTAATCTGGAATTTCCCAAATGTTTGTTCCAGGATACAAATGTTTGTGGTATACCAGAGGCTGTGCCCTATGGCAATATTTCTCAATAACTCATCCGTGGGCTGACACTGGTCCCTGAGATCTCCCAGACACAGTTTATAAAGGCAGCCATTCTCTGGTATAAAAAAATTTGAGAATCATTGCTCTAGGTGGTAAATGGAAATTCCAACACACCCCTCATTTAGGCCTGTTCCACACTTAAAACTTTAGTAAACCTAGCTGCACTGCTCAGGGATGTGAAAAATCCATATTCCTCAGCACCGTAGCTCTACCAACCTGACGCTGATGTTGATGAAATTAGGCTGATGGAGAATGCTTCTGTCAGTCTGGCTACTGATGGTCATGGAGGTGGAGTTTCTATTGTAATGGAAAAATCCCTTTCGTCGCTGTAATCTGTGTCTACACTGCAGGGTTACAGTGGCAGAGCCATATTGCTGTATCTGTGCTGTTGTAGCTCCCATAGTGTAGAAGTGAGTATAGTGGAATACATCATGCTTCTGCAGGAGAAACAGAAAATGCTGCTTTGAGACTCCTTGTGTGGCCAGTCTTCAAATGTTATGTTAGCTTCAGCAGAATCAGAGACAGATTCATGGCACTTGTTTCAGTTTGGAGAAAAATAAACTTAATTCAGGCTTTATATCAATATGAAATCTGATAATAAGCCTTGCATTCCCAAAGCAACCCATTCCTATAGTGACCAATGTGACATGCCAGTGTACAGGGATAAATGTGCAAGTGCCTACATTAATGGGGCTATTTCAGTATGCATGGTGGACCTGGCAAGGTTGAAAAGTTATAGGTAAGAGCCATAGTATTGGCGCTCTCAGTCATTTTTAAGAAAAGAGGTCCAGGGAATAACAATTTAGAATAAATGCGGAAATGTTCATCTGAAAGAAGACAAATGTGACTGAGACAACAATACAGCAGAAGTATCTACAGTAAATTAGTTCTTCCTTCGCTAATAGGTGTCAATAATACAGTGGATTCCATGTTGTTGAGGAAAAACTATAACAGCCTTGATTAAATGTTTTATACTGTAATGGCACATGTAGAAAATAAACCCCTCAGTCTTTGCTGAAAATAACCCCCTCAATCTCTTTACTGAAAGATAAATCTTAGTTGACCTTTTACTGGATTTCTTTTGCTGTGCTAAAATATTCTTTACTACCCACAGCACACCTCATCTGATCAGAACAGTGTGGGTTTTTTTTGTCTAAAGTTTTATGGCTGAAATATCATTTTAAGTATTCAGCAAGAGACTGGTTTATAGGATGAGACAACTAACAACAGATTAAAATACTGGATTATAATCTCTCTGTTCTCTTTCTGTCCAAGGAGGAAGAGGGCCCCTTGGTTCATCAGTCACATGGTGTGCAAATTGTGTATTACGTATGTTTTATGTTTTCCTTTCTTCTGTTTTTTTCTGTTTTTGCTTTATATTCCTCCATTAGGCACAGAAGATGATGCTGAAGAGTGATTCTTTAGGCCTAGTTTCAAATGAGCATTTGGACCTTCAGGTTCTTCTATGTCCCTGAATCAAGATGGATAAAAATCAATGTTTATTTAAAAAATTAAAAAATCAGATTATTTTTATTTAAATTGGATTTTTTAAATTTTTTTAAATAATCAGTAAAATACTAACTTTCTCATTTAAAAATAAGTTATAATTAAATCTCATCAGAAACATGGTACACCTACATTTACAGTCTCATAAAAATGAATTAATGGTTCTAGTCTCTCCAGCCTAACTACTAGCTCTTGCTTCTGGAAAGTTCTGGGCTTTCAATTTCTGTTTCTCAGCTGACTAAAAAGTAACATGCAAAGGACACAAGTTGGATAGGATTGTTTTTGTTCTGTGCTTCTGTGTGGTGGACCTTGGCCAAGCACAGAAGAGGAGTTAAGACATTGTTTTAAAGATAGAGAGACAATACATAGGAAAGGACGGAGGCAGCATAGAAAGGATCAGTCGAGTAGACTGGAAAGAAAAGGGAAAGACATTATTCAGCACACACACAGCTTTCTATAGCCTCCATGCTTTTGCCACAGAAAAGCTGTCATGGCTTCTGGGTGTAAGAGGGACCCTGTTTGGGAATATTTCGAAGAAATTCGTTCCTTAGGCGAAAAAAGGAAAACGTGTCAAGTGTAAGCAGGGCAAGAAGATACAGGGTCTAGTAGATGAAGATGTGAATATGGCTGAATGGATCAGCTATTTCAAAATTTAATTTATTTTGCAATGCATCATTCTTCAAGACTCTCTTTTAGTGCAAGTGTGATTTGACACGTAAATTCCCAGACTATTTGCTTTGCTGGATTTTTCTAGAAAAAAAGTTTAGCTTAGCTAATCCTTATGGCTTGTTTAATTAGTCAACTAGGTTTAGAATTTATCATTCAAGTATACAATACAGAAAGCTGCAAGTAAGAGAAATCTAAAGTTTCAGTTGCCACTGTGTCATTTTCTTATTTTATATTGCATAATACATGCCCCTTATTTTGGAACATTGTGGCCACAGACCATAATGGTGATACCATAAGTGCTACTCCACATTTTAGTTCAGTGTAACTCAGCTTTTCCAAGTTAACCCTATCCTATACTTGTTATCTCAAAAAAAAAAAAAAAAGTGCCAGTGAGTTCAGTGGGACTTACTCCAAATTTAAAGGCACTCTAAGCACTGTCTGTCTAAGCTTTTTTGATAACTTGATTTAAATCCTCAGGTTGCAGTTCTATAGCCATTAGCTTGGTGGACGCAATTGGGAATTGAAGGCAATCTGTGGGAAATGAATCCCTCTACATTCTTCTTTTGGGTATGTCTACACAGAAGCATTATTTCGGAATAACTGATGTTATTCCAAAATAACATAGTGTGTGTCCATGCAGCAGGCATTATTTTGAAATAATGGTGAACTGGAGGACTTCTTACTCTGACTCTTGTAAGACTCATTTCACAAGGAGTAAGGAAAGTCAAAGGAAGACATTGCTTCCTTCGACTTCCTGCTCTGTAGACAGCACCAAAGCCGAATTAAGCTATTTCAACTTCAGCTATGCAGTTGATGTAGCTGAAATTGTGTAGCTTAATTTGAGTTTTGCCTTGCGGTGTAGATGTGCCCTTTGAAGAAAAGGGGAATAGCGGAATGATGGAATAGATTTTCTTAGTCTTCAGAAACCTTTGCTAATCAGTCAAGGAATAAATAGATACAGCAGCAACTCACCTGTTCTGACTGCTCTTGTCTATGCTGCTACCAGGACTTTTTATGCTGCTTCCAGATTATTCAATAGTCATTTTTTGCTTCTGCAGGAGACCTGACCACAAATGTGTCTTTGGGGAAACAGAAGGATGCAACTTCGTCCGGGCAAAGCATAGGGCATTTTTTCTTCCCGCCCTGCAATTCTCCATCCATTGATTTAACTGTGTAGCAAGTATCAGGAGAGGTTATGACTGTAGGGAAGGGAAAACAATGTAGACTAGTTATCAATCATTTATTTTGTCCATTCTGCTCTTACTAGTGGGTTAAAAAGATACCTTTCATCTGGCTTGCTGCGTAGTTGTGTGTGAACTTTGCTGATGTTTGGGAGACTTGTGGCTTACACCCCTGCGCTGTCAGGACCTGGGAGTGTTGTGGATACATCATGCTCAGATCCTGAAAAGATCAAGGTGTTCTTGCAGGTCAACAGCCTTCACTCTGGTCAGTTCAAGAGCTGCTTTCTCAGGGAATCCTGTCCAACACTTGTTGGCTAAAAGGATAGTGACAATCCAACAATATGTCAGCGCTGAAAAACTGGATGGATTCGTTGAGGTTCCAGAAGGAATGTAGAGGTCCTATTGGGGGCAGAAGGAAGGCTCGCTTTAGGGCTTATTTTACAGCTATTGTTCTATTTTAAAATGGTTTGCTTTATCCTTCAGAAAATGGCTGGGCCAGTAGTCGGACTCCTTGGAGTCCCCAGCAAAGGCTGTAAGCCAAGGAGACTACAGAGACTGGTAGAATTGGAAGATTCTTCAGATGATGAGCCATGTGTTTGTTGCCAGCCCCCTAAGGTATTTTATCATACACTACACCATGATAAAGTAAGTGAAGTGGGGAGAGGCAATTAGGAAAGATTGTGATTTTTTTTTTAGAAGCAAACTTTGAAGAATGGATGGCAAATGGGATAGGTTATGGGATATAGACACTTTTGCCTCTAGCAATGGCTTGAATTCAGACCAAGCTGTAAATGATGAGAAGTTATTAATCTCCTGAGTGTTTGTTCATTTGTCTGTCAAAAGTTGTTGTTCATCATTATCCATTTCCCTAGCAGACAGAAGTCCACATGACAAAAATTAACACCATATTGGGACTCTGCCAGGTAATCTCAAGGAGAGAGAGAGAATTTAGGAGTCTATTTGTGATCTCAAATATGTAGTAGGGAAAAGCCTTTCCAGGGAGGAATAGAAGTAGTTAATCTTCTCTTGCAGAAGCAGCCGCTTGCTAGTTAGCCAGGGAGTCAGTGGGAAAGAGCAGGTGGGTCTTCTTTTTTTCCCAATGAGAGAATGATGTTGGGAAGCAACTGCTGAAGTAGGGATAAAGGAAAGAAGATGATTGGCAGTTAAGAAGCAGCTAGATAAATATTATCTCATCTTATCTGATCACAGTGATAAGAAATATGTCTTTTTCCATGTTTAAACTACTTTCTGAAGAGGGCATGCTTATGTAAGTAGAATATGAGAGGACGCAGAATGTAGATTAAATATCCTTGATCCATTCCGTTAGCCATTAATCCAGCTAGTTCAGTGTCCCATTTCTGACAGTAGCCAGCACTACATGCTTCAGAAGAAGCAAAACCCCCAGACTAAGCAGATGTGGGGTGACTTTGTCTCTCTGTGCCCTTCTCTCCAAAGGTCTCATCCTAATCTCCAATAAAGATTGGTTTAAATTATGGCACAGTGAGGTTTTTATCCCAAGCCAGATTCTTTTTTTTGCATCAAGTATTATATCCCCGGATATTTCAATTTTACTAATTTCTTGATCTCAGCAGTATCCTGTGGCAATGAGGACACATTCTAAACTCTAATTATATGAAAAAGTGTTCCTAGTGGCTAGCGATTTGTACCCTGAATTTATATGTGAAACACCAAGACAGTTCCTACCCCTTGTTGCCCTCAGTGCTGTGCCAGCAATGTGCCTAGGTTCTAAAGGGAGAAAAGCCTTGTATTGTTTAGCAGTTGCTCCTCTAGCCTAAAAAACAGGGATCGCAATTCAGCAAAGTAAAATGCAGTAGGAAGATTGGATAGATCCTTGTGATTGCAACAGGGACAAGGAGGACTAGGAGATGAAGTTTCTGTTACTTGAATTTAAAGTTCATATTTTGTTTTGGAAATGTCTTTGTCACTAGCAATGTTTTCCTCCTTCAGAAAATGTCTAGGTCAGTCCTAGGAGTCACCAGCAGCAAGGCTGGTGTGCCACATAAGATGCGGAGAGTGGAGGATTTGGAAGATTTATCAGATGATGTATATGATGATTTCCAGGTTACTCAGGTATCTTACCTCTTAATGTGCCATCCTGACATAATCCAGTGGGAAAGAAACTGTGGAACAGCAAGAAGGGTGGGATTATTTTGATTTTCAAGAGGGATGTCGTCTTATATATATTAGAAATGTGCATCTGTCCATTTGTGAGTCTGTCTGTTCAAGAACGCCTCCTAATTGGTAAGAGCTAGGATCAAATTGGGCAGGCAGCTTCCTCTTACAATAACTTAAAGCAAGGTCAGGTCTTGGTTGTGCCAAGACAATGGGATGTGCCTGGAATTCAATTGTTTCTCATAAAATGGAAAGGGAGAAGAGGGAGTTATACTATAGAATGACCATAGAGGGTAGCAAGGGCCAGCAATAGGGACCAGGAAGGGGGAGACAGGGGAGGGATCACATAAGGATTACCTGTTGTGATCCCTCCCTCTGGGGCATCTGGTATTGGCCACTGTTGGCAGACAGGATACTGGGCTAGATGGACCTTTGGTCTGACCCAGTATGGCCATTCTTATGTATAACCCCATTGGGCCAGCAGGGGGTGGGGTGGAGAAAGGGACAGCTATCTACTATATATTTCAGAGAATTTGTCTCTGTCTGTCCCCTAGCAGAGGGACGTGCACCCCTTTCTCGGCTGTGCCCGCTGCATGGACAGGTGCTTATCACCTGGCCCCAAGCTAATGCGGTAAGAGCGGGATGGGGTTGTCCTCTCTCTGGGGCAGCCTGCATTCTGAACCCCTTATCCTCAGCCCCACCCCAGAACAATGATTTAAATTGATTTGAAAAACAAAACTTATTTGAATTAAGGACCCAAGCAACACCAGGTCAATCTTCTAGTTTAAGATAAAGCATGGATAGAAGACTCAGAGGACTAGTAATAGGCTCTAGTCCTTTTACTGCAAGATCAGTAGTCTGAATCTGCCAGGCTCCCTAGTCAACCAGAACTGTTACCATCTGTTCAGTGATCTGTGTGAAATGAGATGGTGATTTTTGTCCAGTTCCTGGTGGACTGGAATTTCAGAACAATACTTCCCTAATTGCAGCCCCTGGAGCAGGTGGAGGAGAGTGGGAGATGATTTTACATTGAAGTTCAGTCTTGCTGCCTGGGAACCCAAACAGATTGCTACATGTACAATTGAAGGTGTGCTTGAACCAATCTTGAGAGTAGACAGGTGTCTATAAAAAGAGCATCTTATTCTACTGTTCAGATATTAGATGTATTAGTGGGAAGTAGAAATTATTTTCAGTAGCAGAGAAGCAGTAAAACAAATACTAAGGGTACGTCTAGACTACATGCCTCTGTCGCCAGAGGCATGTAGATTAGGTTACCAGACATAGGAAAATGAAGCGGCGATTTAAATAATCGCCGCTTCATTTAAATTTACATGGCTGCCGTGCTGAGCCGACAAACAGCTGATCAGCTGTTTGTCGGCTCAGTGCGATAGTGTGGACGCGCGGGTGGCAACATCAAAGGTATTTGTCGACCACCCAGGTAAACCTCATCCCAGGAGGCATACCTGGGTGGTCGACAAATACCTTTGATGTTGCCACCCGCGCGTCCACACTATCGCACTGAGCCGACAAACAGCTGATCAGCTGTTTGTCGGCTCAGTGCGATAGTGTGGACGCGCGGGTGGCAACATCAAAGGTATTTGTCGACCACCCAGGTAAACCTCATCCCAGGAGGCATACCTGGGTGGTCGACAAATACCTTTGATGTTGCCACCCGCGCGTCCACACTATCGCACTGAGCCGACAAACAGCTGATCAGCTGTTTGTCGGTTCAGCGCGGCAGCCATGTAAATTTAAATGAAGCGGCGATTATTTAAATCACCGCTTCATTTTCCTATGTCTGGTAGCCTAATCTACATGCCTCTGGCGACAGAGGCATGTAGTCTAGACGTACCCTTTGAGTCTGAAACAAAACAAACTCTTAAAATATTACAAGTAAAGGTCTGAGCAGTGCAAGTCATAAAAGCAACGACTAATTCCAATCCCAAAGGTATCTGCAGTTGGGTGTTTGGTGTATGTTGTCACTGAATTTGGTACTAGTTGTCTGCATGAGTCACATGTTCCTCCATATTCCATTTTCTTTTCATTCAATTTTTTCTTTCTCTTCCTTTAATCTCTATTGTGATTAATGCAACACCAGGAAATTAAAGACAGGGATTACCATCCAACACTATGTAAAAAAGAAGTGAAGCAACTCCTGAAACCATATGCAGCACATGTGCTTTGGCAAAAGCCTTTGAACTCACGTAAGTTGTTAAATACTGATCCCTGAACAGGTATTCTAGAAACCTAGTCATCTTATTCTCACTATTGTTAGCCCTGTATGTTTAATGTTCTTCATTAAATTGTGTCCGTTTCAGATCACTCTAAGCTTTAGGTAGTAGAAATTTGCCTAGAGAATTTCCTATAATATGACAGTTCCCTCTTCGCAAGGACAACTTATACAAAAGGATCTAGCTGTGTAACCTTTCATATGAAGGCAAAGTAACACAGATGGTGAAGCATTAGCATTTCCCAGGGGTTGAATTGGGCCAGTTTATGACAGCTTGACTAGCCATTCCTTTTCTTGGAAGCTGGCCTTCACGAAAATCAAGTAATTAATAAAATAATTAAGTCTCTAGCCCTTATGGTTGAAAAGTGAATCTTCAGAACATGAACTGAATGCAAATCAGTTTGGTGTTATCATTCTGATGTAGAGACACCGTAAATCTATAGGTCTGAAAGGTGGGAACTGCCCCAAGTCTTCTTAATGAGGTACTGAACCTGAAGGACAATAATGATATTCTAAATATCAGGATGCTTAACTAGTTCACTTTGATCAACACATCCAGGAAATAAGAGGGTGGATCAGATTATTAAGATCTGCACAATCTGTATATAGACATTATACTGGAACAGAACTGGATTGAGTTTGGAAGAGTACCACACTTTATTTTGTTCCAATTCAGCCCTTGTCTTTTCCTTTCTAGGGATCTGGGTTTAAATCCTGGTGCAGGCCAACTGAAAATGAGTCTGGTGGGCAATAATTTTTGTAGGGGGAACACTTAGTACATTTTGGTATGTGGTCATGGGCCAGCTCCACCCCTGGAAGGGATGGGACTGGGGATTAGCCTTCCCCCAGAGTTCTCTGGGGCTGGAGGCTTTGAATTAAAAACACAACAAAGAACTCGCAGCTTCTGGCTCCACTGATACCGTGTGGCCTGGAAGCTGCTCGGGAGTTGCTGAGGCTAAATGGCTCATGGCTCTGGGCTCTGCTGGGATTGCACCGCGACCAAGACCATTTAAATAGGATTGTATTGCCTGAGCCATCATCTGGGAATTCGGTGGCATGGGCAGCAGGCTATAAATAAAAAGTGGTCAGATGCAGTCCGGGGGCCTGGTCAAAGTGTTAGGCCAGCCCCCACGTCTTGCCCAGCCCTGCCTTAGCTTCTACACGGATTGACATGGTACAGTTCTATGCTGAAAAGATGGCTATTGCTTGAACAGCAGATCTTATTCATGACTAAAGTGCATTAACCAGAGTTACACGGAGAAACTTTCACAGCCCATGTTCACAATGTGACTGGCTTTGCTGGTTCAGCGACTCCCAAACTGAGACTTTTGTCTAGAGTTGTTATGTAACTACTGCAGCTAAAACAATGGTATGTTGTTCAGGCAGCCTTCTGCCCCTTCTCAGTCCTGCAGCTCCTCTAAATTAAGGGGAATTTTGCTAGCAGTGTCCTAGAGAAGGAAATTCAAGAGGAAGTAACAATCCCCCCCCTGCAGAAAGGCAGGATCTTTATAGAGTGAACTGATGACTCTACTAGCAGTATGCTGAGAATATACATCAACTGCTATGAAACTGTTCAAGTGGCATTATACATGAGAAGTGACTGTCAGGTCACACCGAGAGCTTCTCAGTCTCACTCAGAGTTCCAAAGCAAGTTTGCTCAGTTTACAACTGATGAGATGATTTTTCTAATGGATGGAATCACCACCTAGAATTTGAAAAACAAGCTGGGTTCCTTCTAGCTCTCAGTTTCTCTCCATATTAAAGATTCTGCAATTGGAATGGATCCTGTTCATGATATCCCCTGTGGCAGAGAACCCGGGTTGCTCTCCAGCTGTATGGGCACTGCAGAGGAACTGTGAATAAAAATTGGTTTGAGGTCAGTTGTTCAACCTTTGCTCACTATGGGTATGTCTACACTACCCTGCTAGTTCGAACTAGCGGGGTAATGTAGGCATACCGCACTTGCAAATGAAGCCCGGGATTTGAATTTCCCAGGCTTCATTTGCATAAACTGGGCGCCGCCATTTTTAAATCCCTGCTCGTTCGAACCCCGTGCCCCGTGCCCACTCCTCTTTATTCCATGAGGAGTAACGGTAGTTCGGACTAGGAAGCCTAGTCCGAACTACCTAGTTCATGCCGCGTGTAGCCGCGCGGCACGGGGTTCGAACGAGCAGGGATTTAAAAATGGCGGCGCCCAGTTTATGCAAATGAAGCCCGGGAAATTCAAATCCCGGGCTTCATTTGCAAGTGCGGTATGCCTACATTACCCTCCTAGTTCGAACTAGGAGGGTAGTGTAGACATACCCTATGAGAGGCACTCAGGTGAGGAGTCCCACTGGCTTATAAGGTCTATGCAAAGTGAGTGGGATTTGCAGAACCAGGACCTTTGGGAATAAAAGCAGCAGATTTGACTGAGATGCTTGCTGTCTTATCAGCATGCAGCACAAAAGTGAAGTTGTTCCCTTTATTGGATCTCCAGTAGGAAAGCAGTCACCAGAGGGGGGTGTTATGTCCCTGTAATGTCCCACCTTTGTTGGTAGCATTTCTGCCATGAGCCGGAAAGACCTTTCTTTTACATTGACTGCTGTGTAGTGATCTTTGTTTTATTTATAACTGCAACCCAGGTAGCAGATGAGCAGCAGTGTTGTCCTTGCGCACACAGTCTTGGCTTGCTATAAATAGATTTGCCCTTAATCCTAAAAAGATAAAGCAGTGCAGCTACTTGGACAGATTAAATGATGTCAGGAAGAATTTTTCAGTTTCTACACTGGAAGAAACAAAGCTGGGAAGCAATAACTTACTTCTAGTGGCCAAAGCTTTGCAGTAAACTGCAATTTCAGTTGTCATGCAAATAGGGTAATAAAGTCTTCACACCAGACACATGGCCTTCACCCTTTGCATTTTGATTTGTTAGTGTAATTATGACAAGGTATTCTGGCAGTGCAGTATATACCCTATGACAAGATTTGCTTGATGCTGAGTTTACTAGCATCTGCTGCTTGTTGTAGTGATTTGTATGATAAGTGAATGGGCTTTTCTTAAAAGGCTGGAGAAATATTAAAGGGTCCGTATTCAGCTATAATTCCATACTATGTTTTGGCACAATCATTTTTGAACTAGATGGGTGTAATGTGAGAATTCAATTGTGTGAAATTTTAGTTTAGCATCATCTAAATTTAGGAATGTGAATATTTTCTGCCTCTCACCCAGCCCTCTTTTCCTTTGAAAGTAAAATTAACCACTTCACCTCTGGTGCCTGTGCCTTTGCTTGCCAGATATGTCACAAGAAAGTTATCTCCATTCATGGTAACACCATTCTGGTTTGATTTTAATTAGAGATGTGAATACCCATTTCAAAAATTAACTAGTTAAACCATATAATTAATAGTTTAAGTAGTTAACCATGAAGGGCCTCCTGTGTGAGCAGAGGGCTGCTCCAGCCCGGCTGGTCCACTCTACCTCTCCATAGGTAGGGCTGCTTCAGACAGCTGGGGGGACTGCTCCTGCCAGGCCTGGCCCTCTGGTTAACCTTTTACCAGGTAAGCATGCTGGTAAGACTAATTCTTACCTGTTAACCTTATACATCCCTCATTTTAATATCTCAATAGGCTATGGAAGCCAAGATTCAAGAAGTGCAGCAGTTAAAACAATAATCTAATATAAAAAAGCAATTAGAATAATAATTACAAGTGAGGATACTGAATCCTTTTATGTTTATGGCAGATGCATATACTAAATAGCCAAAATATCTTACATTAGATTATGTGCTGCTAGCTAGAAGGCAGTATTATTTGCATTGGCATTACAGTATTTAGCTATTTGAAATTCAGAGCCATAGCATTCGTGGAAGTGGTTTCAGACAAAAAGTTGAAATTCTCCCATAGTATTCTGATTATACATTTTTAAAAAAAGAAGTGCACTAATGATTGGCTGCTGAAACTTAAAAAATTGCTTCATAAATCTGTTAAAACAAAAGCTTAACTCCTGTATCCCACTCCAAAGGGATTCCACATTCATCTTTTTGGATTCCCTCTGCCAGTACTGCGGGGAAGAGTGAGATTTTAGGGCTTCTCTTGTTTTAAGATTGCAGTAATAAAAAGAAGAGGAAGGATAGGAGATCAGCCCCGAAAGAAGCTTCAGCTTCAGTTCCTAGTTTGCAGATGTCCGAAGAACAAAGTCGAATTAAGGTCATTGACTCATTGCGTGGGATGCTACTGAAAAGGTAAAGTGTCTTATGCATGACATGATAGTGGCAGGGAAGAGGCTGGGGATATCTTGTATGAAAGTCACATGCGATTATTGTGTGAAGTCTTGTGTCTGACGCTGTTTCTTATCAATGCCAGGGCAGTGAAACTTCCTTGTAGATTGGATTATTGCTTTGCACTAGCAGAGCATCTCTCATACATACAGCTCGGAGATATAATCAATCTAGTCTGGCTTCCCATAGGGAATGGGTCCATTTTAAGAAGAGAGCCTTGTTTTTCTCATCTTAAACTCCTGTGAAGCCCTGCATCACAGCCACCATTCTTTTCTGTGGCAAATTGGGTGGAACTCCCTTCAGAATCCATCTGTGAAATTGCTTAATCAGAGTGCAGCTGTTGGGTAATGTGAAAGTCCTCCTATCATGTGGGGTGAATGTGCTGCTTCTATAGCACAACCATCCCTTGCTGATTTTGGGTACAAAGGAGCCTCTTGTTTTGTGTGTTTTTTTAAAGGTAGCTCTTTAAGGTTTCAGTTTTTATTGTTTACCTGGAACATTCCATGTCATGCACGATACTGACGGTCATCTGCCTGCCAGAATTATTTATTGCAACAGATTGCTTCATTTCTTATCTCACTCTTTACTTTGGCTCATGTTGAATTCATTTGCCAGGCTTAGCCCTTTATCTGGTAATCATGTGCGAAGGTCATGCTGGTACACAGATAATTGGATCAGGACAGTGAGGTTAATTCTGTACATTTCATCAACTGATGAGCCAGCTTCCAATCCATATTGGGTCAGAAGAGGAAATGCATTTGGTGGGTTTCATTCTAAGTGCTGATTCTTCACTGTCTTGCATGGGCACTCGGGCTCCTTTTGCCTTGATGTAAAGGCCTGTGTGAGGTGAGGGCAGTGGAGACTCGGGCTTTTAGTGCGTATTCCTCCAAGTCACAAAACTACCACATGATTCTCAGCCTGTGTTAAACAGTCTGGTCCAAAGCTCATTGAAGTCAATGGAACATCTTCCCTCAAGTTCAGCAGACTTGGTGTGAGGCTCAAGAATCCTAGGAATAGCTAGTAGTGTTGCTGGGCATAAGGCCGGGCACTGGCAGACTGACAGGTATATGCCAGCCAGAGGAGATTAGCAGGCATGCTGCCCATGAAAGCTGAAGGGCATTGGCAGAGCTGTGACGGGAAGCTTGCAGGGTGTGTTCCCATTCTAGGCACTGCTTGTTATCCTCTTTTATGAGCACTGCATGGATCCATGAAGTTTAAAACCAGAATATTAGTTTGATCTAGTAAATACCTGACTTTTTACCAGCCTTATTCTTTGATTAAACTTGATTATATGCCCTCGTGCTGCAATTAAGATTATAATGATGCATTTTAAGACAAGAGAAGCTCAGATAAGTGTACAAAAGTTAGGGAAGCCCCCAAGTTTAAATGCAATTTACTGAATCTGTCCCCCTCTCACTGGCAAGCAGTCTGACAAAATGACAAAGGCCACCAGCTTTCTGACATAGCAGAACAGTTTGAACAAGCTATTTCACAAGGCAAGGGGCTTCTTTTAGAAACTTAACCTTCCCTAGGATCTCGAAGACCCAGGTTTCTGATGGCTTCCTGTGTGGTGGAGAATTTTCCGGCTCTTTTATTTGGGATTTTAATTGAAAAGGGCTTGTACATTTATAAATTGGCTCCCATGTTGCAGGCCGATCTGTCACATCCATCTATGATTTTTGCTTGCTGTATTCCAGATTGGAGGAGTCCCCTGATCTGGATGTCCATGAAGATACAATATTGAGATTAGCAAACAACGTGGAGAAGGAAATATTCAACCTCTTCCTTTGTGTTGACCAACGATACAGAAACAAGTACCGCAGTCTCCTTTTTAACCTGAAAGCTCCGAAAAATAAAGTAAGAGACTGAGAAAAACATGCCTAATTTTCTCCATTACATTGGTAAGGGGGCATATCTTCAAACACATGTCTCTGGAGAGCACCAGCATAGAAAGACAGTCCAACATTAGTCTTGTTGTATTCACTGATGGTGGAAGGCTATGCCATTGCACATCCAGGAATTCCTTTATTTAGGTCTTGTCCAGGATTTTGAGATTTCGCTTAATCTTTCATCACTGATGGCACTTGCCATGCCTACCTTCCCCTAGCCATCATCCTTTGTAAGTGTATAGACATTTGGTCAGTGTGAAACATCTGAGTATCTTTATCTTCTGTGTAGCACGTCGCATAAGGCCTGCATTGATGTGCATCTCTGGCAGGTAAGCCTGATGTATGGAAGGAGAGAGAAGTTCAAATGCATGCATAAATGTTGCTTCAAAACCTAGGCTGTCCAGGCATGACACAAGCAATCCAAGTTCAGTCCTTCTGAGTATTGGCCTTCATTTCCTGTGTACTGTTACTCTGAAATAAACTTTAGTGAGAGAAAGAGGGATCTTTAGGAGAAGAGTGGATGTGTATTTGTGGCCATTGTTCTCTCAAGAGCGGCATGCCCTTCTTTTTTTCTTTCAGCTCCTCTTCCACCAAGTAGTCCTTGGAGAGGTTTCCCCCCAGTGTCTTGTTCAAATGAATTCACTGGAGATGGCACCAAAGGAGCTGGCAGAGTGGAGAGCTAAGGAGAGCAAACATGTAAGTCATCCCAGTGCAGCTGAGAGAGGGATAAGTGTCGTATCACCCCCTTTTCCCAAAGGGCTCTTTGTGATGCTTTTGCTGGGCCTTGTTCTGTGAAAGATATAGAGGTGATCTAAACCAAAGAAATTACAGTATGAAAACGGCACCCTTTATTGCTGACTGGGCCCAAGTATGATTTAGACCAGTGGTCCCCAACCTTTTGGAGCTGCCAGGTGCCCAGGGGCGGGACCGCTCCCGTTCCCCCCCGCATGCACCGTGGCCCGGGGCCAGCTACCCCATGTGCTGTGCGTCTGGGGGCGGGGCTGCCAATTCGCGCCGGGGTCGGGGCCGCCCATTCGCCGCACACATAGGTCTGGTGCTTCCCATGCACCATGTGCCTGGGTATGGGGCCACCCATTCGCTGTCTGCCCGCGGGCGGGGCCACCTATGCACCCGGGGCCAGCACCGTGCATGCGCTGTGTGCCCGGGGCAGAGCTTGCCCCGAGCACTTGCCAGGCACACATAAATGCCCCGACAGTCGTCATGGCGCCTGCCGGCACCACGTTGGGGGCCACTGATTTAGACTATTAAAAAATAAGAAGAAAGTTTGGCTAATAGACTTCGGGTATGTCTACACTGCATGCTTATTTCAAAATTAGCTGTTCCGGGAGAAATACTCCAAAATACCTTATTATGAAATAGTGCGTCTACACTACAGGGAAGCTTCAAAATTAGTCTGAGACAGGCTTCCCTAATGTAGACATGCTATTTCAGAATAGGGGTTTTCCTCATGGAATGAGGTTTACAGAAGTTGGAATAAGCCATCCGTTATTTCAAATTTAGTTTGAAATAACAGAATTGATGTGTAGATGCTCACATTGCTATTTTGGAATAATGGCCATTATTCTGAAATAACGCTGCTGTGTAGACACATCCTTGATGCTTTAATTGCACATTTACTGTAACTTCCTAAAACTTTTACAAGAGGAAAATTAGAAAAAAGTTCAATAGGAAGGAGAGTTGTGGCACTGTTGAAGAAGACCACACCTAGTGCGGGGGAAATGCATCTGTCTCCTTTAGGGAATAAGGGAACATCAATTCCAGTTTTGTTCCCTCCCTCCCCAACTAGGGTGTACGTTCGCTGTCAGCCATGAGACAGTACAGCTTACTAGCCCACATCAGTAAGCTCACCCCAGCGTGCAGGGCAGTGCATCTCCTTGGTTAGAGGCAGGAGAAAGGGGAGGGGATTACATCCCCCAGCCAGGTGTCCAGGCCCTCTCTCTCCACTGGACCCCAGACCAGGGCCCTATTAGCTTCCATCACTGAGTCAGTAGGGAAAACACATTGACTCCCTAGCACCAGCTCACTCATTAATTAGCCATGACCTTCCCGTGGGCTGCTTCCTGCCACCATGCACATAGGTGCAGTGCAGGCCTCCGTCTCGCCTTCCAGGTCCATGGGCTGCCCACTCCTTGATGCCTCCAAACTCCAGGAGCACCGTGCCTTCAGCCAGGGTTTCAGCAGTGGTTTGCCAGGAGCAGGCAGAGTTCATCCTCTCCCTCCACTAATCAGCCCCAGTTGAGCTGAGCTGCTCGCTTTTTACCAGTGCGTCCGGAGAGTGCCCAGGAAGGCGTAAAGGGCGTGGCTTTCTCAGTTTCGATGCAGGGTTAATCCTCCCTTGCCCAGCATGGGTGAGTGTACCCGTCATAGAAGTAATTTGTTTCCCGGCTTCCCTCTTTCTATGACACTGTGAGGCTTACATTTACAAAGCAGTGATTTCACCCTCCAAATAGAGGACTAGTGAACAGTGTCATACTTTTGCATTTCCTGATGCAGATTAGATGAATGACCATATTGAGAAAAGGATGGGTCAGGGGACAGGCAGTGGGGACAGACTTTTTGCCGCTAATCACCAGTTCAAATGTAGCTGAGGCTGTTGTTGACTGAAAGTTGGTAAATCAGGCAGCTATTTGCAGGAGATGAATGTTATGGTCTCTGTCCTGTACCTAATGGGCAAGGACCACATCACAAATACTGGCATAATTATTGATACTAAATAGCAGCCTTGTTGACTAGACTCTGCAAGGAAGCCAAGCACTGAACTATTCATGGATATTGAATTTCCTTTTTAGCCTTGTGATGGTCTCCAAGTCAAGTTTGAGGCATGTCACCAGGGGAGGGATGTACTGCTGTTGTATTTACCTTGGGGTTAGCTAGAATTCCCTTCTGTTGTTTCACTAAGAGAAGGACTTTACCTTTGAAACCCCTTCTCTTTAAATCCACTGTTTGCATTTCCATTTTGGCTTTTGCCTAGTTAATTCCTTATGACGTGTATTTTCTTGAGAGAGTCCTTGTCCAAAACATGTCTGCTTAGCTCTCTCTGTTCAATGCGGTTCTTCCAGGTGCTGGAGGTGATAGAGAAACAGCAGCGAGAACCACCAAGATGTTGCCCCACAAAACTGACCCACAAAGGGGAAATAGAGATACACAGTGAGGTGGATGAGGACTTTACTTTGGAAGACCTATATGTGAGTAGGTGGCCAGATTCAACAGGGGTCTTGTATGTGAAGGCATGAGGGAAAATTGAAGGGAAATATATAGGTGGGTAAAACCAGCCGGTGTCTGAATCTTAGTGTAGCTGGGTTTCAAAGCAGTAGGTTGATGGGAGTGGTGGGCTAGCTGGTATAATGGATTGATGCAAAAGATTCCATCTCTGCTGTCAGTTCAAAGTCACAAGGAAAACAAATGTGACTTGATTAAAGTCACAAAGAAACAAATTGATGTTATTGTTCAAGGCCATGGTGGATATTTACAGTCTGTAGTGACGGGTCAGTAGAAACTCTGGAGTAGAATATGGGGGAGGGGGACTTCAGATCTTCGTTGAGATAAGGAAGCTTGCACACTGCTTTTCTGTGCGATGGAGGATTCCTGTCTACAGCGGCGGATTTAGGGCAGGGCAAGCGGGGCGGCTGCCCCGGGCCCCGTGCTTCCCGAAGCCCCGCGCATGCACCGTGGCGCCATGGCGCATGTGCTGTGTCAAAGGGGGGGCCCCATGAAATTTTGCTGCCCGGGACCCCGCGGTGCTGCCCTGGGCCCCGCGGTACTCTCATCCACCCCTGCCTGTCTATTATTGTTATTTGTATTATTGTAGTGCCTGGGAGCCCTAATTGCATGCCAGGACCCATTGTGCTAGGTACTGTGCAAATGTAGAACAAAAGAAGGGTCCCTGATAACCAGTCTTTCATCAGTATAAGAGTAAAAATTCATCCAGTTTGACTTTTTTAAAGGGCTTCAGTAGAGCTGTGAGCTATATTTGGTCAGCAGCTTTTTGTACAATTGTATTGTACTGTTCTGGTTTATCATAAAGGGATATGTGTCGTGTCTCCATTACTTCAGCAAGAGGCTATGGCTAACTTATAGCTCCTGAAAGAAGAGGAAGCCAGCCCCAGTTGGTGTTGATTGGCCATGGGCTTCTTTGAAAGATCTGGAAATCAGCATTTTTCACGGTGGGAGTGGAACCTCCTCCCGTCTTTCTTCTAGAGGTCATAGATGACACCAGCAGATGAATGAGAAGAGCGTGACTAGATACTCCTCCATCATTTCCTATAAGGCTGTTAGGAGGCATAGGCTCCATATGAATGAATTCTAACATGCTAATGACTGTCATACATTCCACTTAGGGTTCAGTGCTATGTATAGACAAGAGACCTATTTCCAAGCCCACTACAGAATCCAAAAGAGACACCACAGACCAGCACAGGAGTCACTTACTGGACCCAGACTGCCTTATCTGTACAGGTAAGTAAGCTGGGAGAAGGGATTTGGTTGGTTAGCCTTGGAGATTTCAGTTCAAATTCTGTTCCGTGTAAACTTTCTCCATATCACAACTCCATCCTGCAACTTGGTAGAATTGTTCAAGTGGCCTGGGACTGAATTAGTAGTGAATTCCTTCCTGAGGAATGTGGCGTGTTGGTAGTTTGTACATTACTAGCATCAGATGGTGCCTGGTTCACACTAATGTTATTAGTCTGTCACTCTCATGGTCACAAAATTGAACTGTAAAAATTATGACATACAGGCAAAAAAAGTGGGGAGATCTGGAGAGAAGTCAGCAGGACTCACACTCAGGCTAGAGACCGAGGAAAGAGTTTTATTCCTCACCGCTAGTGCCAGCCCTTTTCAAGCCAGATGTAGGCAGCAGGGATGAGTTTGTGGCCTGTAAACAACAAGGGCAGTATAGCTAGGATCTTATGCTCGCTGGCTCACAGTCAGGGCCAGACTCAGGCATGGGCGAGCTGGGCAGCTGTCTGGGGCGCCAACCGATGGGGGGGCGCGCGGTGTCCCTTACAGCTGCCATCAGGCGCCCCGCGCCCGGCTCCCGCAGCACTGGCCCCGCGGTGCCAGCCAGCAGCGCCCTTTCCCCCACGGCCGCGGGGCCCTGTACAACCCGGCGTGCGCACCAGCTGCAATAGCCAGACCGAGCTAGGCAGCGCATGCGCCGTGGGCCCCAGCCAGGGCGCCAAAAGGGCTTGGGCTGGTCCTGTACACAGTAAAAGGTGTCAATCCAAAACTACTTCTGTATTTGTTTCACCTCTTCTCATTGAAATGGCAACACACCATGTAATAACAGTGTTCTTTCTCTTGGCATCAGAAAGTACAAAATCATCATTGTTTTCTCTGACTTCCCAGGAAGGATGGCTCCGGATGGCGAGAGAGGTTTCAACCCACCACGGAGCAAGTCATCCTCAAAGAAGAAAGCAGAAGGCAGCTCCAGGTTGCATTCAACCACTGTCTGTTCAGAGAAAGGGAGAAGACATTTGGAGAAGGGCAGGTCTGTGTGGGAATGTGGAGGGAAAGTGTTTTATCTTACTGTGCTGTGCTTTTTGTTGTAACATCTGGCCTGGATATTCTCTACTGTCCATAGATGGATTTTAAAAAGGGCTAAGAACTTCTGTAGTTATGCAATTCAGGAAGAGTTGAAACCAAAGCTTCTTGAAATAAACTGGCAAGTTACATTACAGGAGTGGGAGATGTAGGTTGATATGGTGGACAGACCCAGCCCCCCCCCACCATGGTGAAGAAAAGGTTAAAGAGCTCCTCTGGGCATAATCAGACCCAACCAGACTACTTGTCAAGCTTATGGATGGGTGGTTTCTTAAAAGGGAGGATGTCAGCTCAGTTTGGAGGAATAGGCCCTGAACTCATCTGCTACATTTCAAAGGCAGAGGCGGCACATCAGGAACCCAGGATGAGTAGGGACCCAAGCACTCATCTTGGGTTCCCAGTTGCACCTCTGCCTTTTAAATGTAGTAAGAGCTGCATCTCTTCCATTGACTACTCGGTTAGCTGATTAATGGAAATGTAACATCCCTACACAGGAGCCTACAATCCCCACTTTAAACTTCTTAGAATTCCCTTGAAGTCCCAGGATGCAGTGTTTCTCTTCTAGCCTTTTTCTGCATGCAAAATCTCTTCCCAGGAAAACAGTAATACACACAAACATATTCTGTTTTAGGCCTGCCTCAACTGACAACCTCAAGAAGAATCCAGGGCTACAGAGACAGGCCAAGGACACTGTGCTGTGGGAAGGATTCATTCAGATGTTCAGCATTAAACAGTTTGCGGCAAAAGCATATCCTGTTTCAGGCTACAGCACTTCCCTCATTCAAGTATGACCCTTGTTTTGTTTTATATAACAGGAGGGATTGTCTATGCCAACAAAACTGTGTATTTAATAAAATACCACACATTTCATGTGGTATTCCACAGACCAGGCATCAAAGCTCAAGTTCTTCCATCATGTTATGTCACACATTTTCATACTGTAGACCCAAATCCTGTGGTCCTTATGCAGTTATTACTCATCTGTTCCTCATGCAAACTCTGACTGAAACCAGTAGGAATTTGCCTAAATAAGAGCTGATTAAGGACTTCAACATTTGACTTATGGATAGGACAACAAGAAAGGGGAAAACATTTATGAGATGTCATAGGATTAGCTAGGTGCCTGGATAATTTGCAGTGATCTGAAGGATTTTATGCTCAACTCCAGTTGAACCCCCATAGATTTGGGACTATGGATTTTGAATTGACTTTTCATGTGTTTACTGCTGTGGAATGGCAGGATCATAGGAATTAAATGTGGAAAAGACTAGTTGTAGCATCTAGTCTATTGCTCATGGTGCGGTGCGGTGGACCCTCGCCTGCGGTGTGATGCAGCGGGCTGATTAACTAGTTAAACATGTAGTTTAACCGGTTAACATTTTAAATGGGATTTTCATCCCTAGAACCTTGGAATGAGGCCTTTATAAATGTGAAAAAATAATTATTAATAACAAATAATGATCTTAATAAGGGATTGCCCGAGTAGATGCCTGCCAAATTCCATCCACTTGATGGCCCAGGTATGGATTTGAAACAAGATGGCTTCCCTTTCTGATGTGCACCCCAGAGAGGCTCAGCGAAATAACTTGGTGCCTTTCAATTGAGGATCACTGGTTCCAGGGTTGTAAAGTCTGCAGAATATCAAGTAATAAATTATAATCATATTTGCTTCCTGGTTTGTACAGGCTTTACCAGAGCTGATTCAGTCGAGGGGCTGTATTCTCCCGGAGGACGTCTGGGATTATTTAGAGAGCATATGGCCAGCTGAAGCCAAGGTATCCTTTCAAAAGGTTCTTGTGTTCAGGGATTGAGGATGATTTGTCAAGCACTAAACTGACTTGTAAGCATATCCTGATACCTTCAGCCTGTGCACCAAGATATCAGAAGAGCTGAGTTAGTGCAATAATAACCCTTAAACCTTTCATCACAGGAGAATCCCACTGCTCTTCACGAGAAGCAGCCTTGCCTTCATGCAGCTCAAATGGCGGTCACCTTTACATGTTTGAAAATGTGCCTTTGGAAAGTTGCACTTTCCTATCAGCAGGGACAGTTTGAATGAGTTGGGTGGAATGATATTTGGGATGGACTGAAACAAAAGACATTCTGTCCTTTTAAGTGTTAAAGTTAATAGTATTTAGGCCCTGGTCTTGAGCGGTTCGGAAAGCTGGCAACAATCACTGGGTTCAAGAATTGTAGCTATTTACCGCTCTTGTTCTGAAACGAGGTTGATAAACTGAGCATATCTCCGTGTAACATGGATGGAAGATGCCTAAAGGCATGACTATGTATATCTCCGTGTAACATGGATGGAAGATGCCTAAAGGCATACTCCAAAGCCCATTGAAATGTCTGGAAGTCTTTGCACTGACTTCAGGGAGTTTCGCATCAGTCCCAATGGTGTGAACTGATCGGATACAATTCAGCGACGTACCATCTGTAGGTAAAAATTGCCTTTACCATATGGTAGGTAAGATCTCTGTCTATGCCAGTCTCTCTCTCCTGAGTGTGTTCATACTCTTGTGTTATCCAGGCAGAATGTAGAATCCACCAGATTGTTTCCATGCCCCAAAATCTGATTTGTAGGTTGCGTGAGAGATGAATGCTGTTCAACTTGCCAAAACGCAGCGAGTGAAGCATATAAAGGAACTGGAGCGCCTCTCAAATAAGATTAAGCTTGAGTCCCTCCTACAAGCAAGTTCCTAGATGCCTTGTGTTTTTCAGTCTTTTTTACTTATTTACTACTCGATGAACAGTGTTTTCAGGCAGTCACACAGTCTCCTTCTTGTATTTGTTTAGGAGATGAGCGTGATACAGTTCTGCCCTACCATAACTAAAGACTTCAGCGCTTACAACATGCTGTACTCCTATTTGAACAACAAACAGAGATATGGCATTGTGGACAGCAACCAGATGGAAATGTTCATGGTACCACTGCCAGCCTTCCAGCCAGTACCTGCCAAATTCCACCCACTTGGTGGCCCAGGTATGGATTTGAAACAGGCTATGGATTTGAAACAGGTACACACCTTTCCGGTGTGTACCTCAGCTCAGTGAAATAACTTGCTCAGTGAAATAACTTGCTGCCTTTAAATTGAAGATCACTAGTTCCAGGGCTATAAATAATTCAGTTTAATATAATCCATAGCTTTTCAGGGTGTCAGAAAGCAAGGGGCTGTATTTCTCAATGAAAGGCAGATTTGAAAAGTAGGGTGGTGCACTGACATGTCCTTTGTGATAGGAAAAAGCACTTGAAATATAGGTAGTTGTATGTTGGGATGCTTGGAAATCTATAACCCTGTGTTACCACATATGAAACAACAGAGAGCCAGTGGCGCTGATTCACCTTGTGCCGGTGTAAATTTGGAGTAACTCCTTTGAAATTAATGGATGGACAGCAATATAAAATGGGAGTGAATAGACGGCAAATCAAGCCCAGTAATTCCACATTGCCCTAATTCCTGTGACATTTTCTTTCCCTGCCCAGCTTCGTGTCACGTGGCCTGAGGTAATGGCCACATATAACTGATGAAATGCCTGGCACTTTCCTGCTACACATTAGGATGTAAACTCACGTAACCCCTTGTCACATAACTGTTTGTTCCCACACCGCTACTCATCTTGTGAAATGTCATTTGTCAGCTGCAGCTAATCCCTGTCCTACCTCCATCACATGATGTAACATCACATAATCTCCGTATCAGGTAATCGCACTCAGTGCAAACTTGAAGCCAGGCTGGAAACTGGTTACATTTTCCAGTAATCATTGGCAGAACAATCTCTGAGCGGCAGCAGAATCCGTTGGTGATTGACCTGGCATCTGTGTCACTGCTCAGACAAGTGGGAACTCAGTTGTCATGGAGAAGCAGATAGTTTTAATTATAAATGGTGTTACTTTTGTGACTCTAATCTGGATCAGTCCAGAGCTCTGCCATCAAGCTAGGACAAGACCAAGAGGCTATGTGTCTCCTGGGCTATATGAAACAGGCTGTATTTTTTTTCAGCCATTGTACAATGCAGGAGAATTGGCTACCCAGCTACAAACCACGGTCTTGAAAATTGCAGTTCATCTTTAGCAGAATTGCCTTGTTTTTAACAGTGGTCAGCCACACATCATAAAATAATAGGAATGACCTATTTTCAAACAGAACAGAAGTTATACTTTCTGATGTAAAGTGAATTTATGTGATTTGTGTCAGTGTTTCATTTGAGAAAGAAATACATAAGGGTATGTCTACACTACCACCCTAGTTCGAACTAGGGTGGTTAATGTAGTCATTCAAAGTTGCAAATGAAGCCCAGGATTTAAATATCCTGGGCTTCATTTGCACCTTGCCGGGCACCACCATTTTTAAATCCCCGTTAGTGCGGACTCCGTGCCCGCAGCTACATGCGGCACGGAGTAGATAGTGCGAGGAACGAGGTGGAACGAGGTTTACCGGTAGTTCGAATTAGAAAGCCTAATTCGAACTAACAGGGATTTAAAAATGGCGGCGCCCGGCAAGATGCAAATGAAGCCCGGGATATTTAAATCCCGGGCTTCATTTGCAACTTTGAATGACTACATTAACCACCCTAGTTCGAACTAGGGTTGTAGTGTAGACATACTCTAATTCACCTTTGAGAGCAGTATATTTATTGAATTCTTTTAATTCTCCTTTTGACCTAGATGGGGGCAAAAAAGGGCAAATTTTTCTAAAGTTGTCTCTAAAGTTGCACCTGCAATTTTGTGCATAAAAATATTTGCACATACATATTATTATATCCATGCAAAAACTTGGATTTGCATTCATCAACTGCAGGTAATGAATTATTTGATTTGCACATATAGTTTGTAACACCACGTGCACAAATCCACCCTTTTGCATGCCCAAGACTTAATGTGTGAAAACAAGCCTGCCAAAACCAGCATGCTTTCAGAGGCCAATTTCAGAGGCAAGGTTAATGTCCCTTTTAATATTGGCCCTAATCATTGAATGCAGTTGCTCAACTGTGGATGAAGAAAAAAAAATTAAATCTCAGTGTAATGCAGAAAATGTTCACAGAGCTAAAAAAAATTAGGATTTGGCTGAGTGAGAATTTTGTTTCTGTAAGTATTCAGTAAAGAGTGTGACAGTACCTAAGGATTTGCATGGTTAGAAAGATTCCAGCATACAATGTGGAAAAATCTTCCATTAACGCAATTTTTTGTTCGTTTAATAGGTCTTGATGCAAATCACTCTTGCTTATTACTGGGACTGATTCTTCCAAAGAAAGCCTCAGATGACCACTCTGCAAATGGTACAGGGCTCTTAAGGAAAACAAAAAGAAAGACTGTGACTTTTAAAGATACCCTTGTTACCAAATGTATTTCACCTCCTTTGGACAGTTCTGGAAGCGCCCAGCTGGCTGAAACATTTCAACAGGTACCTTCCAGGGCATTCACAGGTAATTGTCTGTCTAGGGACAAGTATCCTCCAGCAGTTTCTCACAGCCAGGAACCTCTGACAACCAATAATGTCTTTGCTCTCAATATGGCAATGGGTGAAGTCTTAAATGGAGGGCCATGCCATGGAGCATCATCTTCATGCTGTCAAAACAGCAAGGAGGAACCTAATCAATCCATGCAGGATTGCGCTTTCCATTCATTTAGCAGCTTCCCCTGGATGGGAGAGCAATCCTACGCCACGGCTCAGGAATCGTTGGGATGGCAGCAGAATATGATGGGGGGACATACGACGTTTCATGCTGATGCAGGGCCAGCCCCATCACAGTACTGGAACCTTGGCCCATTGTCTTCATGCTCCTTATGCTCACACGACTGTAGTGGCAATGTTGCCTTTAGTGCCAGTGTGTTAGATATTCAGCAGTTATCAAGTATGTTGTGTCCTGGAGTTACATCTTCTGGAGGACCATCCCAGGTACCATCTGTGCCCCAGCTTGTTTCCCATGAACCTTCTGCTACCTCTGACCTTCAAAGTCATGCTGCAACTGGTGACTCCAATCCAGAGGTTCCCGTGGAGGAGGCCTTGTCTCTGATTCAGCATCTGGAGGCACTGGTGCAGCTGAATTCACAGATTCAGAATCAGACTCTTTTTTCGCATCCTTCGTTAGATCTTACTGCATCCCTGCAGGCAGCCGCACTCAGGGAATCTCAGATTGTTGGAGGAGCCACGTTTCCACCCGTCCAGCAGGAAAGTGGTGTGTATCCCCAGTCTCAGTTGTCTCTTCCTCCCTTTTGTGGACCTGCGTATCCTCCTCCTGGTTGTTAATTACTCCACGCCCCCTATGGAGCACCACAGAGAATCATCTGTCAAATTGATGAGAGTGTATTTCCAACACGAAAGCAGCATAATCGTAACGCGATTGCAACTCATCTTAAAAGCTTCAACCTCTGGCATTTACAGCAGTCTCCCACAAATTTGTGAGAGTTGTGGATAGATTGAGGAAAGAAGCCTTACAACATTAGTTCATGTATATTTGGAATAATGAGCAGCTCTCTAAATATATCAGCAACCACATGCCAAGGCCAAATATTGATTGGAATGGGAGATGTAGGGCAAGTGTTATGATTACTCGGTGTAAGCTGTTTTCTGGCCACTCTGCCTTCTGTGGCTGTTGAAAAAATTTTTTTGGTCATTTCCCTGCACATTTGGAGGAGGGGAAGCTTGACAAGGAAGTACTGTGCACTAAGAAAAGTGGGGAAGGAGGCAGATTTGAGGCATACTGAGAAATAATGTGCTACTGAAAGAAGAGAGATTTTTTTTTTAATTACACCCAGCTCTGGCTGGAGGTTGGCCGTGTACTAACGGCTTTTATATGACTGTTTTTCAATTATATTGAGCATAAGTAGTTTCTTCCACTGGTGGGAAGGGACTTGCTGTTGAGGTGTTACTGGCTTTATCTTCACCAGCGGTTGCAAAAAACTGTTTAGTCTATTAGAGTACTTACGGTATCTTAAAAAATATTGATGCAGGGTGCAAGAATCCAGATTTTCCACAGAAGATGGGTGCTGGTTGTTAGACGCACCTGTGATACAGGCGGTTATTTTACATTATACCGTGACAGATTTTTTTAATGTATTGTACTTGTTTTTTGACCAGTAACCATCACTGCACAGTAACACTGGAGACTGAATTCAAATCTAGATTGGATTCAGATGTGACTTGCAATTAGAATCATAGCAAGCAAGGTGGATTACTCCGTTTTTATGGTATGATTCTTGCATTGTTTAAAAATGTTTGAGTAATTAAGATCCTTTAGTAGTTATTTTAAAAAGAGATGCAGAGAACGGTCATTGAGAGGTTCTGGGCAAATTTGGAGCAGAGCTGGTTACAGCTAGATTTGAAAACATTTGTCAGGGTGGATTTCTGACAGCTGGCTGTTGCCCGGCAGAATTTGTAGATGGCATTGTTTTAACTTGGTTTTAGTGTCCCATATAGACAAAGATTTTTGTTTAGACAACTGTGTTAACAGAAAGAGATCAAACACAGGGCTAGACAAAAGAATAAATAGTTTTGCATCGCAGTGCATGGTGCATCTACCTTGTATCCCCCATACATGGCACATTGTTACAGTTTGACATGAAGGAATTTTTTCCCTAATATTTAGCCTCGGTTTTCTTAATATCATCTTATTTCTTCCCAGTCTTTCTCCTCCATTCCATATTCACTGACTGATGGTCCTGTGGTGTTCAGACCTCCCAAATACTTATAGGCTGTTATCACGTCTCCCTTCCCCCAGTCGTTGGGCAACCAAGCTACTCAGTTCATTTTTAGTGGGTCCTAAGCCCCTCTGATAACGCCTCTGGGCCTTTGTCATTCCTGTTTCCTCTCTGTGTGCGTTTGCTTCTGAATCATCTCCCATGACATCCATAAGGTGGGCTACTAAGACACACAAAAGAACAAGCAGCTTCTGTAAACAGAACATTGCAACTACTGTTGAGATAATTGCCGGCAGCAGGTCCCACTGGAAAGCTGTGCTGAGAAATATCAAGGCTGGGCCTGCGCTGAGAATTCACCTATTAGTAATTGCCCCAATGGGATAGCATAAGCACCTACAGCGCAGTGTGTCCAGGTTAGCCTGTCTGTTTTTACTACATTAGTGCCCCATATGCACACTTGGGTTGCGTGGACCTGATCCAGAACCCACTGAGGTGAATGGAAAGACTCTCATTGATGTCCGTAGGCTACGAATCAGGCCCTCTTCTACCCTGGACCCCGTGTACTTCCCCTACAGTTCCCTGAAGCACTGGACATGCATGGATTTGAAGGGTCCTAGTGCCTGGTGGTAGTGGGTGAGAAATCGACATGAAACTTATCAGGCTGCTTTCACTTTTCCAGTTCAATGAGAAAAAGAAAAATACATTCCCACGTTTAAAATCCCCTCACTTTTCCCATTCCCTGTTAGTTACAAAAGGAGGGGGGCATGGGCAGATTTCTAATCCGGCAAGGTCCAGTCCCAAAATGTGGGCGCACGTGCCTTTAACTTGAACTATCACTGGTTGTTTAATATATATGATAATGAACAACATCTTTAATATGCCATTTAATATGCCATTCACTCTTTAAAATGAAGCTATTTGGCGTTACGGCTTTTAAATTGAGTTTTCATTTTGTTTTAGTGATGTGGGACCAAAGTCTCGGTTGTGTAAATTGGCATAACAAGGGCCTACGACAGCTTATGCCAATGGAAGATTTGGTCTTTTAAGCTAGTTCATTTCACAGGTGTAACTCTAGTTCTGCCTTAATAATGGTGTGTGTCTGAAGTGATTCCATTGTCATCGCTAGTGTTACTCCACACCTACTGGTGTAACTGAAAACAGAATTTAACCCTGTGCTTTTAAGAACCTTCTCTTGCCTTCTTTCTCTGTTACGTAGCCCTCTTGAAGACTGTGAGTAAAATTCTTGTCTCATTGAAATCCACACCAACACACTCCGTGTCAGCAACAGCTTCCTTTGTGTGGTGTGACACAACACTTTTCTCCAACCTGGGCCAGAGAGGCACGATAAAGCCCCGTTTTCCCATGTCTGTCTGTGCGCACACGGGGGGGGGGTAGCCGTGTTAGTCTGTAACTTTAAAAACAAGTAGTCCTGTGGTACCTTAGGGTACATCAGCACAGCAGTGTGATGTTATTCTGAAATAACATAGTGTAACACATCTACACTACAAGCAGTTATTTCGACATAATGTCAAAATAATGTTGAACTGAAGGACTTTTTACTCTGTTTCCTGTAACCCTCATTTTGCAAGGAGTAAGGGAAGTCGGAGGAAGAGTGTTATTTCTCAGACTTCTTGCTGAGCAGACAGCACCAAAAGCCGAACTAAACTATTCTGACTTAATCTACTCAATATGTACTCAAGTTGTGTCGCTTATTTCGGCTTTGGCCCTGTGTGTAGAAGTACCCTAAGAGATTAACAAAATAGATACAGCATCATGAGTTTTAATGGGCAAAACCCACTTCTTCAGATGAGCTTTCCCATGAAAGCTAGTGATACTATATATATTTTTGTTAGTCTCTGCGGTGCGACAGGACTACTTGTACACTCATGCACAGTATTGTACTATCCTCCCAGCGCAAACATGGTCTCCATGCTCCTGCATCCTTAGACCTGAAGGCACATGCAGCTTGTCTTTGCTTTAAGCATTGGAACTCTTACCCATACTGTCATCGCCTTTTCATTTTTTTCTGCTTCGGATCTTCTGTCCCTCTTCCTTCAAACCCCATCTGCTCCCACGCCGCTAATATTTGCCTGCTCTTGCTTTGTCATTTTGAAGCTTTGCAGAACTGGCATGATGAGCCATTATTTTTTCTGCAACAGAGACTGAGTTTGGGTGTTTACAAGAGGTTGCCTGTAATTGACTTAAGGATTTTGCTGCTGAGTTTAGAACCAGGCTGTACCCAAGAGATACACAGAGGCTCCTTGCTCACAGAAAGAAGTAGCGTATAGACATGTTAAGAGCAAACTCCCACTTGCAATGAGCCAGCAAGAACGTTAAATCTTTGTAAGAACTCCCAGCTGCTTTCAAGTGCCTTAGAGAAATTCTCCCCTCCCTGCCTACAAACTTATCTCACTTCCTTGTACGGTATCCAGATGGCACCGAGCTCTGTGTCATGAGATAGTAAACAAAGCAGGCGGCCCCTCTGATACCAGGAAATGCTCCGATTAAGCGGTAAGTGTTTCTCAGCCCAAATGTCTGGTGTCAATTCCTGCCTGCTCCACCTCCTACTCACCAGAGCAAAGGCTGCGCGGGAGAGCGGCAAAACTGTCTGACTCAAGCTTGCTGTTGCAGACAGGGTGGAAATTGCACTGTGGCTGAGCTAATAGGCCTCTCAGGAGAGAGATCAGACCCAGCGAGCCTGATCAGACCCACTGTTTATTATAGAATCTCCAGGCATTTTATAGAGTGGGTGTGATTGCTGTGCCTGTTAACAGAGAAAGGAAGTGTGGGGTTCGAGGGAATGTGGCCAGTTTTAGCCAATGGTGCACCCAGTTTTCAGAAGTGCTGAACATCAAGTTTAGTTGGAGTCGTGCTGTTATGGGCCTGTGCTGCAAGTATGAGTCTGGGGCGGAGCAGGGATTAGAACCAGGGATGTTAAAATGCATGTGATTGATTAACAGTGTAACTGCTGTTACACGATTACACATGGGGCCAGTTCCCTCGTAGCTGGTGCATGCTGGTGTGCACCGGCTCCTACCCACCACCCTGCTCTCGGGAATCTGATTGCTGTCCCATGCTGCTGCTTCTGATACTGAGTCAACAGCGCAGGGCGGCAGATGGTTCCCCGGGAGCCGAAATGCATGTAGCTGTATAGCCGTTCATGTAAGCATTTAAATGGCTACACTCCTGCATTCCTAATTAGAACCTTGGGCCACAGACCCCTGTTTTGTCTGTCACACCACAGACTGGTCCGTTGGTTGTTATATTTTAATCTCAGAGCCTGGTTTTAAACGTGTGCACACAAATTAACCCCATACTGGGCCCTTTGATGGGAGTTGTCCACTCTGAACATGCAATTGCAGTAGTACTGCTATGTCTGCAGTGTTAAACGTGGATGGTGGCTGCCCTACAGGGAATCCAGGGTGGTGGTGGCGGTGGGGAACAGCCTCCAATTAAACCTCATCTAGTCCTCTGCCTGAAGCAGCTTTGTGACTGCAGGCTGGAGTCACATCTAGCCCTTCTCTGCTGAAAGGAGAGGCCCTGTGACGCACGTGAGGCCCAAGGGGGAAGGGAGGGAGGGCAATCGCAGAGGGCACCCTTCCAAGGTGTACTGCAAGGGTCTCTGTTATGTCTGGTGTGAGCTGTGTCTGGTGTCCCCAAGCCTTTGAACATGCAACACTTTGCTGCCCTCCTGTGGAAGAAGAGAGCCAGCCTCTCGGGGTTCTTCACAGCAAAAAATCCAGGGTATTGCAGAATCCGGCCGCGACAGGAAGACATTTGCATTGGCTGGGCCGTGGAACCGAACTGGGAATTATCTGCATTCTCTAGTTCCGCCTTGCACTTGGCAGGGTTCTGGTGCAACTCAGTGAGCAGTTTGTTCCGCTTAACTCTGCCAGACTGATCTGTGTCCTCTCGGTGCTGAGCGCTAGAGGGGTGCCTGGATCGCATCCCAGGATCCGACAGTCTGGCTCACCTGTCTCTGGCCCCGTGGTCTGAAGGAGGGGGTGTCAATATTTGCACTGCAGCTCTGGTCCCTTTGCCAACGTGCACTCACCATGCTCCTCTCGCCACCTGCCATGACAAGCAATTCATCACCAGGCCCCGGCACCTGAGAAGGGGAAAGAGCAGCTGCTTTGAGCCTCCGTGTGTGACGTGCAAGATTACGAGCCCCGGAGACTGCCGGCCTCTATCCCCAGCACAAGGGCAGCATCTGAGCATCAGACCCCCTGCCACAGGGCCTCAGCCCTGGCTGGAAAGACCGTCCCTAGAGAGTTCACACACTGTGTCCTACTCAGCACTTGGGCTCTCTGACAATGCTGCCAATTCCTGCAATTTTCAGTAATCTGGGTGATGTGGACCCTTATCCACAGAGAAATGGCCTGAGACTTGCCAGTTCACCTCATGTTATCCCTACCCCGCATGGTAGCAGCTCTCAGGCTCCTTTGGCTTCAAACCAGCACTTGGGTGAAAGAGTCTCTACCCCTGAGTCCCTCAGCCCCCCCAAAATAATCATTTAAGTGTAACCTCCCCCCCCCCCAATTCATTTATTGTAACGTCAGCTGCCCAAAGAACACCCCCATCCCTTTGGAGACATCCCATCTCCTTTCTGATGGGATCCAAGGGAGCTCAGGCAGATGTGCCTGCCTGTAAACAAAACTAATTAATTAAAAGAAAATCAAAACTAGGCACAGTCATAATTACATAATCCACAAGACCCTAATAGAATTAAGTATGTTAATGTAGCTGGCTGCAACCATAAAACAAAATCTATTACACTGACTAGCCCCAGAGAAAGGCTTTTGTGAACCCGCGGGACAGGAAACCCCCTTAGCGCAGCTCCTGGCGGGGCTGTGGAAGAGAAGGAGTGCGGAGTTAAAGGTGCAGCAGTGCACCTCCCTCGCCCAGCCTTGCCCCTGGATCGGCCATCTGTGGAAGGCCCCACGAAGCTCACTTCCCTCAGCAGCTACAAGCCAGAGAGCAAAAAAGTGTCCGTTTAGTTTATTCTTTCAGTCAAGGTAAGGTCGTTCCCGACCTTTGTTCTTCAAGGCCTTGATTTACCCATTTTTAAATAGATGCAGTGTAATAGGGCTAGGCCAGGCCTGGGCAAAACACCTCCCATGGGCTGGATCCGGCTCACCAAGCCACCGGATCCGGCCCGTGGACGCAGCAGGGAGCCCCCAGGCATCCCCCCTGCTTGGCCCTCCCTCGCATGCCACTCAGAAAAGCGGCTGCAGAGCCATATGTGTGTCTCAAACTGAGAGTGGGGAGGGGAGGGGCAGTGGTGTTTCGTGGCTGCTCCCGCCCACAGCACAATCCTATTGGCCGGTTTCTGGCCAATGGGAGCTGCCTGTTTCAAGAACAGGCAACACACCGAAGCACCCATCCCACCTCCCCTCAGGCTCTGTAGCCTGAGAAATAGTCTTGGCTGCTGGTCAGGAATCCCACAGGTAAATCTCCTACCCGGAGCCTGCCTCTGGCACCCCAGCCCCTCTCTCCCTCCAGCCCTCAGCCCTCCTTAAGCCAAACTCCCCCTTCTAAGCCCATACACCTCCCAGACCCTACACCCCAATCCCCTACCCCAGAGCACAATCCCCTCCTGCCCTAGGTCA